AAGGTTGGATAGGGGAGCAGGGAAGCACATATCTTAGTTAAGGGAGCCACCTTAGTGTTGGCAAGAGACTTGAACCTAGAGTGGCTCCCAGGAGCCCAAGGCGATGTCCCCAGTTAGTCCCTTGGGAAGCGGAGGATAGGGAACCTGAAATGACCCTATCCTATAGCAATACTGACGAATATCTTTCATATCACTGAAATGAGAAACACATATTCTTTTGCATAGCCTGTAACAGTTTTGATCAACAGAACACCTCGTTTTCTCTGTTCATTACCATTAATTCCTTTAGGCTCCTTGAATGTTCCCTGTCTCTAGTGCTTCAAGTTTCCAACATGTTTTCTTCACCAGAAACTTCTCTCCTATTCTCCCAGTCTTCATTCCATCTTGTATTTAAACATTTTCTAGAAACTGAAATTAGAATATGTTTCCAATATAACCCTTATCACTTTCCTTTCATTGTATATTTACATGTATTTAATAAACCCCTTGCTACCCTCTGGGGCCTATTAGGAACACATATGACCTCATTTTCCTCTCTGCCTTATCTCCTTTGTTGTGACTCATAAGATCTCATACTTTTTCTGGTGTACTATGATCACTCCTTATGTAATGATAGGAAACTACCAATTCTGGGTTCAAAAAAAAGATGTGTCTATTTATTGCAAAAAAATATTTAAAGTCTATGCATTACAATGCACCATAATAACACCATTAAATGCCTTGTTTTTATTATGTTAAGGCTTCCTTCTATGCCCAAGGCAGAAAAGTAGGTGTTGCCACTCTGTCCCGTCATTACAATTTCCTGTTTAAACATATTCTGGGCAGCAACTCTGAAGCCTCAGATTGTTCTTTAATGACACGTTTTGTGGATCCTTGCTCTATAATTCACTTTTCTAATATCCACGGATCTGTAGTATAACCTTATGCATCATAATAGTAACAATGAAGGTGACACAGACTAGACTTTAAGTTGTAATAAAAATAGACAAAACATCATGACAGTTATCCATAAAAACAATTTCCAGGGTTATTTCTCACAGTGTAAGTTTCACAAATAATTCAACTATGAGGTGTAAATAAATGAAATGAAGTGTTCAAGATAGTTGGATGTTCTTGCTTTATGTTTCTTAAAATAGTCACTCTGGCCTATATCGTTTTCATAATCATAACTCCCTCAAATCTATTTAAATGGCTACATGTATTTTCTAACAAGAAAGAACTGTCAGATTACAGAGACAAAAAGATTTCAAGAAATATATTCTCAAGTAGTTATAACATATTTGTAAGCAATGATTAACATGAACATCACCTAAGACAATTAATTGGTATTTAACTCCATACTAAAAAAAAAGAGAATAGTGGGGAGACTTCATTTGATTAAATGAAAACATTTCAATTAAATTATTTTGTTTATTCCAGAAAGCTCTTATCTTCAGAAGACAATAAGAAAATCTTTTTTCTCATTTAAGTCAATTTTCTCTAACTTTTCTTCATGGATGTTGGGATTACTAAATTTCCTTTGTTTTATTTTACAGTTTCATATATAAAATTATGAATTTAGTCATTTCTGTCTTTTATGTTTCCTTTTCTCCTATATCTTCCTCTGCTATTGTATTCATTTTTTTTTTTTTTTTGGTGGTAGTGTTTGTGGGCTTTCCTTCTTTGAGTTGTGCTAGTGGAGGATTGTCAGATACTATGTTACTATGTGTGTTGTATGAGTGTTACTATGGCTTCCTTGGGTTGTAGTTTTCTTTCTAGTACTTTCTGTAAGGCTGGGTTTGTGGTTACGTATTGTTTAAATTTGTTTTTGTCCTGTAATATCTTGTTTTCTCCATCATTGGTGAGAGAAAGCTTGGCTGGGTATAGTAGTCTCTTAGTGTCTGGAGCACATCTATCCAAGACCTTCTGACTTTCATGGTTTCAATTGAGAAGTCAGGTGTAAGTCTGATAGGTTTACCTTTGTATGTTACTTGACCTTTTTCCTTTGCAGCTCTTAATATTCTTTCTTTATTCTGTATGTTCTGTGTCTTGATTATTAAATGGCGAGGGGATTTTTTTTTTTTGATCCAGTCTATTTGGTGTTCTGTACGTTTCTTGTACCTTCATAGGAATATCCTTCTTTAGGTTGGGAAAGTTTTCTTCTATAATTTTGTTAAATATATTTTCTGGGCCTTTGAGCTGAAATTCTTCTTCTTCAACTCCTATTATTCTTAGGTTTGGTCTTTTCATGGTGTCACAGATTTCCTGGATGTTTTGTGCTAAGGATTTGTTGGATTTGCTGTTTTCTTTGATCAATGAGTTTATTTCCTCTATAGTATCTACAGCATCTGAGATTCTTTCTTCTATCTCTTATATTCTGTTGGTTATACTTGTCTCTGTAGTTCCGGTTCATTTACCCAGATTTTCAATATTCAGCCATCTTTCGGTTTGTGTTTTCTTCATTACCTCCATTTCAGTTTTCAAGTCTTGAACTGTTTCCATTACCTGTTTGATTGTTTTTTTCTGTGTTTTCTTGGGTATCTTTGAGGGATTTATTTATTTCTTCTAACTTTTTGTTAGTCTTCTCATCCATTTCTTTAACGGAGTTTTTCACGTCCTGTTTAAGGGTCTCTATCACTGTCATAATTTTATGTTTAAAGTCTATTTCTTCTACTTCTTCTGGATTAGGGTGTTTAAGTCTTCCTGTTGCATGTTCGCTGGATTCTGGTGTTATGTTGCTTTTCGGGTTGTTGGAGGAATCCTTTAATTGGTACCTGCCCATTTCTTCCTTCAAATACGGTCAGGAGAGTCTTGGCGTCTTGTTCCAATCTTCTCTGTGGCTGTGTATTGGGGGTTTTTCTTGGTCTGCCTTCTTTAGGTCCCCTCAGCACTGGAGTTGACTCTCAGTTCCCCTTCACCCTGAAGTAGGTTGTGGTGGTGAAACTAAGGACCCTGCAGATGAACAGGAGTGTTTGGTGGCAAAATAGGATGGGGTAAATAGAGAAAGCCAGTAGCCAGGAAGAAGCCTTGCTGAATGGCCAGGAATGTTTAGGGAATTGGAGGGGTTCTGTACTCCATTCCCAGAGTGTCCGGTTAGCCAGGTGGACACACACTTACCCTTCTGGATGGTTCTCCTGGTACAGGAGCAGGGCCTCTTGCTGACCTAGGACCTGGCAGACAAAAGGGCGTGCTTGGTAGGTGAAGGGTCCTGTGAAATAAAGAAATCCCTGTAACAGTAGCACTCACCACTGTATCCCCAGACCCTTAGCCTCAAAGCAGTCTGAGTTGGGGGATCCTAGAACTCTGTAGATGGAAAGGGGTGCTTGGGGGCAAGCTGGGTGGGATAAATAGAGAAAGCCAGTAGCTGGGGTGAAGCCCCACTAAATGACCAGAAAGTTTAGAGGATTGGAGGGGGCCTGTTCTGTTACTGGGGTTTCCGGCCAGCCGGGCAGACACTCACTTACCCCTTGGGATGGATCTCTTGGTACAGGAGCAGGGCCTACTCTGGGATATTTTGTAGAAAAGAACACCTGTAATTTTTAAACACTTTTTCTAAGCCCCTGAACAGGTTTTTTTTTTTTTTTTTTTTTCGGAAAGCAGGTCAGGAGGAAGAGTCCTGTTCTCAACATAACCTCAGTTTGTACACACCCTGGTTTGCCTATGATACTGTTATCTAAGAACATCCTTTATCTTAAATCTACTCACAGTCCATGGTTACATTTCCAGGGGACACTGGAGAATGAGAGAACTTGGGAGTCATGGGTTACACTAGCTGGTGTTTGAATGTGTGTGTATAGAAGCATCCTAGGAGACAAGAGGGATTTCACTGTGGAATCCCTATAAGTGAAAATATTGAAAGAGCTTGAATTAGAACTCAATGGAACATTTTAGAGCCTGTTGTCACTTGAAGCTTTACTAATAAGTCTCTTTACTACTTCCATAGTATCAACATACCTTTTCCTACTTAATACTAAGACATTTTGTGTGTAACATTTTGACACACAATGGTTTGACTTGTATTTTGTATAGGAATAAAATAAGACACCTGTTCTTAAAATCCATGGAGTAAGGTCCAGGGTAGAAGCTTGGTTTATGCAGTTGTTAAGTCTGGAACTAACAGGGTGGAAATGGCTTTAAGATGAAATTTATATCACATATCATAAATATTAAAAGTGAATCCAAAAAGTGTCTGAGAGAATCATGCATAGCCATCCAAAAGAGCTAATATGTATATCCATACACAGACGAAGTCCCTGGGAACTGTGGCTAGGATAACACAAATTGCCCAGACAACAAGCTGAATATTCACTCCCATTTTCCTTGAAAAGAATCTCCAGTGCCAGAATTAATTTCTGCCCTGATTATTAAGGCTAATAACCTAACCCTGGTTATACTGGGTATCTACCCCATGCTCACCCACCTATTCATTTCTGAAGTATGTATTAGCCTAAAACATTGGTCTTAAACCTAATTTTGAATATAAGATAAAAATTGTTTGTTCCTTCTTTCTATCCATATCATTATTTTCCTCAGTGGTTAGGAATTTAAGATAGTTCTTCTTGACAAATTACCGAGTTTTCACGTTTCTGAATTTCATTACTTATATAATTAGGGCAACTTGGTATTTTTAACGATTTATTATAAAAATTCAAGATTAGTTTACAATATGCTTATAATAACATCTCTCTCAGATTTAACAATAAATATCCATTATTACAAAAATTCTGTGCTTAGAATAGCAGGTGTATAATAACTGTGGTATAAACTGGAGATGAGCTCTTTGTATACCATCAACAGGTGCCTATGTTTACTCTCTCTGTTTCCTACCTGTTCACATTAACATGAATTATGAGTTATAATAAGTATCTTAGTAGACTCAAGATTTGCTATTAAACCAAAAGGTTTAATTCAATTCAGGCATTGGGCATTTTAAAAGCCCAGAAAAAAACGATGTAGATTAGAGGTGGAAACAGTAAAACAACTCTCAAGGTGGGAAGCCCAGTGTGGGTCATTAACAAATCTGCACTTCTGGCAAGTTGCTGGGCTTGTCGATCTTACCACTCACCTACCATTAAAACTGGATGTGTTTTGCTGTGCAGAATGCTTGAATTCTCTTTGAGGGTGGGAACAACAAGGTTAGAAGGATGTCTGCAATACAAAGGGGTCTAAATCAAAGACAGTAAAATTCTTACTCTTGAGTTTGTGTTTTGTCTTTTACTGTCAGTAATGAAGGCAAAGATATACATTTAACAAAAAATAAGGAAAAGCCTCTTCTGTGTGGGTTAGAAACTTTTAGTGTTTCTGGAGGAATGCCTTTAGGCAAGTGTGTCTTCTGTTTTATGCCACAGGCAGGGGTAATGTGAAAATTGGCACATTCTCTAAATTAGGCTGTATTGTTGGTTCACCCAATCACAGGTGTTAGAAGGATGGCAGATCTTTTGGAAGATAAAAGTCAATATTCAAGCAATGGGTCATCAGGAACTACCTTCCTCTACTGTGCAATTATAGACAAGTAACCTGGACCAGAATATGTAAAACATAAACAATAACACTATCTACGTTAGTAGCTAATTAGAAAATTAAATTAATTCAATCTTGTTATTCATTAGTCTAGCATTGTCTTGTATCAGTACTAGTTAAGTAATAGCAGATAGAATAAATTAAATTAACTTGCTTCTAATCACTAGGAAAGTTACTTCCTTGTCATGTTGGTATTAACTATCAATAAGTTGTGATAGTAGGTAGATTTGTAATTTCATTTAAATATCACAAATACTTCTAAGGCAATTATGTTTCAGAGGATAAGTTTAGAAACTAATACAATCTTACCCCTTTTTGTTTGTTTATTTATTTTTTTTAGTTGTTGAAAAAAAATTTCTGCCTCCTCCCCGTTTCCCATTTCCCTCCCCCTCCTCCCACACATCGCCCCAAACTTACCTCTTATCTTGATTATTAAATAAGTTGAGAAATCTTGTCAGACGAGGTGGTAGAGTTTTCAATGTCTTCCACATCTTTTTTCTTTTTCTAGAAGAAATACACTAGGCAATTTGTCTAGCATCATTAAAGAGGCAAACTAAAAAGAATGGAAGACTATTAATTAACTGTAATCTATTAGTTTAATTTTGTTAACTCAGAATTATCATTGGAAGGAACTCACAAAGTTGAATGGGCCATTATGGTTATCAACTTCAACATCTGTGTTTGCCTTTGAAAAACTTTGTGAAACCTTACTTAATCCTCCTTTCCTTTTCACTTTGCAAATGAGAGCCTCAAATAAATACTCAAGTCCACTAAATCTCAACCTTCCAGATGCTGTGACTCTTTAATACAGTTCTTTATGTTATGGTGAAATTATTTTTGTTGCTACTTTATAACTATAATTTTCTTCCACTTCTAATCATAATGTAAATGTATTTCTTTTCTGATGGTCCTAGGCAACCCCTGTGAAAGGGTCATTTGATCTGCAAAGGATTATGACCCACAGGTTGAAAACTTCCTGCACTTGCCCCCATTTACTGGCCTTGAGAATATCAATGCAAAGAGCCTTGTGTATAAGCTCTACATGGTGCATGGTACTCTGCTTAGTTCAGTCCAGGCATTCCATGATAATCAAGATAAGAGGTATCTTGAAATCACTTCAAATTGAAGTTTCTTCAACTCAAAATAACTATGCATTTAAAGAAGACATGACTCATCTTGACCTCTGATTCCCATTGTTTATTAATCAGGTAGTTGTAAATTTTACTCAGTCGTATAATGATCTTATCAATGCTGTATCTCTCCATAGTCAATGTGTATTCTGAAAAACTGCACTATATTGAAGTTTTGGTTCACATTTGATGTGGAATGGTGGCAGAGAAAAAATAGTAGCTAGACATAATACATTTTAGCTCCAAATAAATAACAAAAATTTAGTTCAGTGTAGTTAGAATAACTGAACACACCAGACGTCTACATAAGACAGGATGTAGCCAGAGGAAATGTGGTGTCCCAGATAGTACAAATGGCATCTTTGTCCTCAGGTAAACAGGCAACATGCTGTTACATTTCAGAATACAAGGTCACAGTCTGGCCTGCTTTTCAGCACTTCCCGACAGTGTATTTTTGCTGTTCTAGGATGCCATGACTTCTCAAAGGAAGAGTGCTCATTCTGACAGCTGCTACCATAAGAAGAGTGAGAGATTATGGGTATGCATGGACAGGAAGTGGTAAAATAAAACTGGTAGTTTTAAGCGTTGAGTGTGATATATTTTTACACCGTCTAAAATTAAAATGTGCATGTGCAACAAAATTCCTAATAGTGACAATACACAAGTCTTGTCTCTTATGTGTATATAAACATTCCTGGAAGTGGCCTCTAGTCTGCTATAAAATGTGACAATTGCATGCCTAATAATTTACTGACAGTTGAAATGATGAAACAGAGCACATGTATATGCCCATAAATGTTATTCACAGGATCCCAAATGAATTGGCCTTTAATTTTCTCTGCATATGTAAAAGGGTTCAGTTTATAGTATTCATTTTTCTTGTTTACATGCAGTCTAAACAGATCAATTTGTGGTGTTAAGGGCTACCACTTGAGACAACTGTATTAATAGCAATTGAGAAATGGATGAAACAAAAGAATTAAACATGAACATGCTGATATTTGGAGTACTTTGTGAAACACAGATTCTGACAGCTAAATTGCATTGTTATCATGTTTTTGGAATAACATTTAAATTTTATCATCTACATTACCAAGGGATGTTTAATTGTTTGCTTTAATTGACAGATAACAATCACATGCATTCAGAATCTTTCCATCATATAGTACATTAGTTTGAAAGAAATATACACAGAGAGAATCAACTGAGCTTAAGCATTGCCTCACATTGTTTTTTATGAGCACTACCAATATTATTTCTGTAGGTCGGGTTCACAAACAAACTGATGCTAAGAATAAACATCAGTACTATCATATATTGGTCCCCTGGATTTATTCCTTCTTTCTGACTGAAGAGTTTTATCCTTTGATGGAGACCTCCCTAATACCTTCCTGTTCTTTGGTGGTTATTCTTCCACTGTTTAAACTCATGAGTTCAGTCTTAAATGATATATTTGTTTTACAGAAATGACTCACATCTATTATTTGTGTTTTCTAATTACAAAGCTGTTTTCCCTATCTGTAAAAATGATCAATAAATACTGTGAAAGGATGACATGAAACTGTGAGAAAGAAATACAAGCCATATATGCAAATACACTGACAGTTGTTGAACATATTTCCACACATTCATTAACTGTAAATAAACTCAAGTGAAAACAATGGAACCTCACCTTAACCACAGATCATCCTTAAGTATAGAATTTATCTTGAGGTGAGTTGAGGATTAAACCAGGGATCTAAGCAAATTAAGGGGACATCTACCACATTGAGATTCTATTACTCAGATTTTTAAATTTTGACTTATTACTTAATAGTTGACTTCCCCCAGTTAAAATTTTAATGGTTTTCAATAAGTTAATTTTTTTTTAAAAAAGTCATTTTGATAAAATAACATATCACAACACAGTAGTTTTGAATTCATTGGTATATCTCTTTAACTTGTATGCCATTGACATTTGTATACTATTTTGTCATCCATAATGTCTCCATGTACCTTATTTACTTCTTCCTTCAAGTCTATGCAGTTTTCTGTGGAAGAATCCTGTCTGAATTTACAGTTAGGAAACCGAAACTTAATGTTTCAATACTGCTCAACATTACTTTTATTCAGGTCATCTCTTCAAACAATGAGTGAAGGAAGTATCATGGAAACTAAAGGTGAATAAGGAATGGCATGCTCTCTTCTGTCTTTGTCGTAGTTTTGTGGCAGAGAAAGGCATATAAGAAAGTGCATAGAGTTATCCCTAAAAGGTCCTCCAGTCCTAAACAAGTTAGGAGAGAAGCTACTTCCCTTTGATTGGTAGCAGGATATACAGAACAGATCAAAATGGGATAATAATGTTATTACCTGGGAGAAAAAGTAAGACAGCATTTTTAAAAGATTTAGTGGAAATTGTGTAATGCTCTCCTTAGAGATCTTTCCCTGAAACGTGTGCTTATATAAAAAGAAACTAACTTGATTCCAAGATATTACAGAATTTTAGTGAATAAACAAAGTGATTGCATGAAGTTATGGACATCCTTCAGAGTAAACATTTCACATAAACACAATGAAGATGAGGCACAGGGTTTTTGCAAAAGTATAGAGTATTCGTCCCATCTTTTATTTCAAAGATTGGGGCTGTCTTTTTTTTTTTTTTTTTTTTTTTTTTTTTTTTTT